TTGTAAGCCACCTCTGCGAAAGGGAGGAGGTCAGTCCAGTTCATTTGCTAATAATCCACATAGCATCTGAGATACTGCTCCACCATTTTCACTTTTTCAGCTGCCCCATTCATAGACAACTGAAAAGCCATCGATAGTCCCTGTGACGAGCCAATTAACTTGAGGAAGCCCCTCTAGAACTTGGCCATAAACTGCATCCCTCGGTCTGAGATTATCCACTTTGGTGCACCATGCAGCCTGTAAATATGCTTCAGAAATATCTTAGTTAGTCTTTGGGCAGACGTGAGTCCTTTGCAGGTGATGAAATGAGCCTGCTTTGAAAATAGATCTATCACAGTCCAAATCACCATATTCCCCCTACTTTCACGTAACTCCACTATAAAATCCATAGCGATTTCTTCCCATGGCTGGGAAGGGTCCGCAACCGGTTGTAATAGTCCAGGGGTTTTTCCTGGAATTCTTTTCATGGTGGCACATACAGCACAGCTCTTAACGTAGTTCTCTATGTCTTGTTTCAAACCCGGCCACCAAAATTGTCAATGAACCAGATGCAGTGTTTTTAAATATCCAAAGTGGCCAGCTTGTTTCACATTGTGACCATGCTGGAAAGCATTAAGGCGGAGGGTTTCAGGCAAATACAACTTCCCCCCCTTTGTAAGCCAAACCATCCCTGCACGTGAACCATCGATCGTTGAGGAGTTACTGTTTTAATTTCCTCGCCCCAGGGTCATCAGGGTTTGGGACTTTCGAAGAGGGGGCTCTTCATGGCATTAGTTGAGAAGTAGCTTGTGGTGTAGATATAATTGCTTCATTAACCTCTTCACGCTGGCTCTTGTATTGAGGTAATCTGGACAAAGCGTCCATTAAAAAGTTTTTTTCCCCTGGTATGTAACTTAAATCGGTTAAAGTATTGCGCCCACCGTACTTGCTTCAGGGACAGCTTGTGGGGACTTTTCAGGGCCTCTAGGTTTTTGTGATCAGTCCATACCTCGAAAGGCACCTTGCTCCCTTCTAGGTAGTGTCGCCAGTTTAGTAGAGCCCAACGAATTTAGTTTTTGGGTTAATGTCATGGTTCCGATAGATGAAACCCATCAAAAGAACTTCCAGGAAAAATTCTTCCTTAAAGAACATTTTATTTGGGAAACAAAGTATTGGCACTACATAGTTGAACCCAAAAACTAAATTCCCTTCCCCTGGATCCAAAATAACAAAGTACAATTCCCACCCCCAATAAACTGTCATAAATCACATTCCCCAATTAGTTAAAAGCACGGGCTTTCTCCCCAGCTCCTCTGCCCGCCAAAATGTTATCAGCTTGTCCTTGGGTTCCCACAGCAGTGTTATTGTTATGGCTAGCTAAGCTTTCATTCCACCACCACCCCCGCTGCACCTGATTTCTAAAAGCAAGAAAAAGCATAGTAAAGGAGAAGAGAAAATGACTGCATTTTCATCAGTTGTCAAAGCAGGAACATCCAATGTTAGCAGCGTTGACAATTTATACAAACAGGATTTTATCACTGTGTTGTATTTTTTGTTGCCTGATATGGTACATAGCATGGGAAGATCTAATGCTAATACCTAATAATGTTATATTTTCTAAATGATGGCTTGGAAACTAATGTTTAATATTAATTTTAGAAGTGCCATGGAGGAATTTAAATATAACCTGAATTACATGAGGACTAACCATTAGTATACTGTATGTGTTTCCCATGAATTATTTTTTCAAAGTTTTATATTCTATATTTTAGAAAATAAATTTGTTGTTAGTGCTCAATAATATCAAGTAGGAACAGTCAATTGTTTTGTAGTATATGAGAAGTCAGCAAAGGATTGATTTAAATTATAGATTTAGAGTAAATATAAGTTAATATGGACTATTTAAGAACATGTACATTTTTGAATATATTTTATTGATTTTTTGCAATAACAATCTTTAGTGCTTAGTAAACAGTGTGTTGTCTGGGTTCATATATATGAAAAAACAATCAATAATAATTAATTTATATAATTCCATGATCAATATATTAATTAATAGTATGTTTCCTTAATCTTCTCTTCTTTCAATGTTATTTTCTTTTGTCAACATTAGATAAATATAATAATATTTTCAATACATACAAGGTTAGATATAAACATTTTTGTGTTTGTACAGATAACAATAACATCCATATATAAATCTTTTCTAATTAACTTATGTTTCAATTGCATTTGTAAAAGTCATCTTGTTAGATCACTATGTGTCCTATTTTCAAAATTCTTATTTAAACTTAATTTCCCCTCAGTATTCAAACCATTGTTATCAGTCATAGTTTTCTCAAAATTAATTACCTAAATATCCAAACTTTTCATTTACATACCCCATCCCAATATTTTCATATTTCATATATTTTAAAGATACCATACTACTTATATATCCTACCTATAACATCCACATGTAAAATCTTTTCTGAGCAGTTTATATTTCAACTATATTTATAAAAGTCATCTTATTGAGTCACTATATGTCCTGTTTTCAAACTTTTTATTTAAGCCTTACTTTCCCCTCAGTATTCAAATCATTCTTCTCAGTCATAATTCTCTCAAATTTAATTACCTTTAAATGTCTAAACTTTCCATTCACATACCTTATCCCAGTATTTTAATGTTTTATATATTATAAAAAATACTATACCACTTATATCTCTTATACCTCTTACTATAGGGCCCCTTTATATCCAAAATTATTTATTCTTTTAATCATATTCAAACAAATGTTTAATCATGTAGTACTCCGTCTGGTAAGTTGAATCAGATCTCTTAAGTCTAACCCTAGCCTTCTTCTTTTGCCAAATAGCTTTCCAAGTTAGTATGTTCCGCTTACCAGGAAGTTCCTGTATTTTTATAGGTATTGTTGGGAGTGTGAAGGACAGGTTGAGTAGGATATGCACTTTTTGTCTCCCAGACTCTGATGATTTTCCTGGCAGCTCTATAATCCATTTTGTTAAATCTTCTTTCTTATCCTCAAATTTGTTTTGACGTCCTGTCGAATAAAATATCTTTTCCATTTTCAATGTTGTAATAAAATCTTGTAGATTTTTTTTCTGGTTATGTTAAGTTATAGTTCTCTTCATTTGTAGCTTCCCAGTTTAAGTTACTTTTTTCTAGTTTGTATTCTCTTATCTGATTTGTTCATTCATTCTTTATCATCATTTTTTGAGTTTTTTAATTGTAGGTTTAGATTGAAGATGTGCTCATTTATGTAATCAAAGTTACTTTTGATCTCATCGTGGGTTGAAACTATTGTCATTTGAATCTGTTGTAGCATTGTATACATTTTCTTCTGAAAAGTACTTGTCTTGTCTTGGAGTATTACTCCTGCAGATCTTTCATGTTCCAGGCTAGATCTTTCAGAAGGGAATATTTGGTGTGATTTCCTGTCCCTTTTAGATAAATATGCAATATCCATTTTGTCTTCCCTCCCAAATAATCTTTCACTAGTACCATAGTCTGTGTAATTAGCCTTATCGAGCCAGCCAATCTCAAAATCCAAACCAAGTCTTATATAGTTCTTATCTTTATATATCATTTTTGTAATCCAATGTGTTTCTAGTTGTCAAGGTATCAGTGAAAGCAGTGTTTTATAACAATTCTTCTATTCAGGGGTCAGTTATCAACCAGTCAGATTTGCAGTCCAGAGTATTTAGCCACCTTGAAACCTTCTAGTAAGTTCCCCCCTAGAAGATTAGCCAAGAGTCAAAATTTTTCTTTTTCTGCAAACAATTCTTGAGCTTAGACAACAGTTGAAGTTTTCTTTTTCTGCAGACACTTTTTTTTAGCTTATAAATTGCTCACTATATATTTTTTCTTCTCAGCTGTTTTCTATTTGGCTGAAGATTATTAAAGTTCAAGGGAACAGATTAATCTTTGTTTCTGGGCATTTTGCCAATTTCTGAGTCAGAGTTGCTGTTGTTCTATGCTCTGATTCTCCACTAGATGTGAGTAGTTATTTTCCAACTTTTTCAAACAATAAAATTGCTGTTGTTTTGTTTTTTATAAATTCATTGAAACTCTTTAGGGTGTAAAATCTTAACGGTTTTCTTAATTTTCAGATTTATCCAGATTATAGTGTTATTAGTTTCATTTCAGTATATTTTTCCCCCTTAGAAGTTAATTCACTGCTTCTGTCTATGGAAGGATGGGGATTTAGTCCCCTCCCTCACTTTCGGACGGTTTCTTGCTTTGGGGATTTTTTCCAGGGATTCAGTTATAAAATAGAAGAGAGAAGATTGATATTCTCACCCAGTTTCAAGCACGCTGTTCACTGTTGTTCTGGTTCGTACTTTTGGACTTCAGCTGCTTATAGCTTGGGCTAGACACTGATGTGCAGCTAGCCTTTCTCCTGTCAGGTTGGAGGGCTTCCCCCAGATCGAGGGGATCAATTGCTATTGTTCCGCAATCATCCGCAATCATGCCCCTCCTTCTTTGTCGCCTCTCTTGGGCGACTTTTGACCCATTTAGGGTCCCCTGGCAGGGCAAAATCAGCCGTGGGGTGCAGAGCCCGGTGACCTCTCAGCCGTATTGCTATAGGGTGGAACCGGAAGTGAGAACATGTACATTTTGATTGATTGACAAGTTGGTGTCAACTTGTAGCTGAGATTTTTTCCAAGATAAGCTGTCCCCAATCTAGTCCTTCAATTCTTCCAAGGGTGCACGCATTGCTGCTGTACCTCTCTACTTCTTTTGCGCAAACCGGTGTATTTATTACATAGCAGTGACTAGCTAGGAGAAGTTTGATAGCCTAATCAAAATAAATGCCAAAGTAATTCCACAACAGCTAAACTTAGCTTAACAACAACAGCAATAACAACAACAATTTATTCAACCGCCTGACTCTCAACAACTCTGGGCAGCTCACAACAATTGAGAAAATTACAATGAAATCAATTTAAAAAAAGATAAAATGATTTTCATCTTTTTTTTTTTTATTTTCAGAGTGTGGGAGAGCAATCCCAGGTATTCTCAAAGGAACTAAAATGATGAAATTGTACGTAGATGAATCTCAAGACAAATTCAAAGGACAGTGTTTATTTTTTGTACGTGCTAGAAATGACTTGCCTGTGAACATTAAGACAATGAATGAGGTATTTTTATCTTCTTTCTCATTATTACCTCTCTTCGAAAAAGCAAGATCATCAAATTTGTAAGCACAATAATAGAAATAAGGCCCATAAATTATAAAGAATCTTAATTCTTGGTGAGTGCATAGATATTTGGTCTGAACCACGTAAGCACCACTTTTTTGTACCTGGGCCCCAGAGTCAGATGTAAACATTCAAGCCACATGGATTGCATTATGATATTGCAATACACACTTCCGCATTTGAACCTCAACCCATCCTGTAGATGCAGTGGGTGGGTGTAATGTTACAGTGTCTAGGTTTACAAAGTACAAAAAGCCATAATGTGTTTTGTTTGCTTTATTGTTAGTAGAGTATGTGAACAGAGCAACTGTAAGATTCTTCATAACTCAGGCAGTATGAAATACAAGGAGAAAAAATTCTTCTCATTGCAACATAAAACTTTCTTTAATGAGAGAGTTATTATATGTATTGTAAAATGCCAAATATTGTTGCATAATAACTTTTTGATTCTTTCCACATCTAATAACCATAATATTTTAATCTTCCCTGTTTAGGACATATACTATTCATCATTGGATGGAAATGAAGGTCTTTTGCTTGGCATCAAAAATACCTTGGCAACAGTTTTTCTGCCTGCTGTTCTTGCCACAAGCAATTGGGGTGCTTTAAATCAGACCAAGCAGGGAGAACTTGAAAAACAAAGTTTCATCGAAACATTGAACAGATATTTGGCATTTTTGGATGGTAAGATCAAATAGATCAAACAAATGGGCAAATAAGCTGAGCCTTCCATTTTACTTTTTAAAATAATTGATAACTTGATGCATTGTCTAATATCTGGTTGCGACATATTATATCCTGATTCTTATTCCTATCCTGGCTAGAAAAGAAGAATTTGAAGACTTGATTGGCTAATCAATAGCATGTTTATTTCTGTCCCTCTTAAAATACAGGCATCTTTCTGGGAATCCAGCAAAGATTATTAAAACCTTGTCTGATCATATTAAATGTATTCCCCCAAGTAGGGTTGGGAAGAACATAATACTGTAAAGTTTACATATCATAGCTCTTTAATGTCAAATATGAAAATTGTTTGTTTTATAGTACATGAAAAGTCATCATAAGACTGACTGAAATAATGAACTGGAGTGAGCCAGTATCATATGACAGAGGGAAAGCAATGAATTGTCAGAGTATTTTAATTCAGGGGAAAATTACAAGTGAAGATAACTTCCACAAACTAAATACTGTACTTGATTTTGTGCATTTAACCAAGAGATGAGTCTTACTCCAAAAATTGCCATTCCTAAAGATTGCAGAGAGATAATCTAAAGCAGGCATGTCAAACTTGCGACGTCACATGACGTCATGCGATGTATCAGGACTTTTTCCCCATTGCCGGCAATGGGATGGGCGCAGTTTTAGTATGATGCATCCGGCCCATGGGCCGGCAGTTTGACATGCCTGATCTAAAGCAATTCACATTTGCATTACATGTACTTTCATTGTCACTCCTACAGAAATCATTTGTTCCTGTATATCACATTCCTATGGCAATCTGCTTAATAAGACAAATGCATTGTTAAAACTTCTCCAGTGAGCTCCTCCTCTGGATTTTCCCTGACAACTATGTGATTATTCATTTTCTTAGATTTTAGGCAAAGCTGTTAAGTACTTATATAATAATATATTAAGTGCTTAATATGCTAAGTACTTAAATGTGTGTGTTGAACCAGGGCTTTCATACTTCATGCTTTCTCCTTTTTGCTTTTTCAGTCTTTCTCCTGCCTCCCTTTACTTCTTGAGGCTGTCTCTTAGTGAACTCACCCATTTCCTTTTTCTCTTTTTCCTAGCCATGCATCCAGGTTAAGACCTTTCTGTTTCTTTCCTTTCACTCTGAGCATTTGTGTGTGTTGTTATAGCTGTGCCTGAGAGTTGCGTATCCAGCTCCATAACTTTTTATACTTTCTTGACACCTGAGTCTCATTTTTGCTTTTGAGACAGCTTCTCCCACTGCCTTGGAGCTCTCCAATTCTGGTTTTCTTACTGACTCCACAACACCTCTCAAGAAGTCACTTTATCTCTTCTGAGATCTGTAACACTACCTATCAGGCTACTCTGAGGATCCCATTTCTTCTGCTTCAGGCATCTTCCACTTACAACCTTGTGAAACCAGACTCTTAGTACCCAAATTAGCTTCCTAGATTCCGACAAGCTATGATCTATATACTTTTGTATCTTTGAAGTAGGATTCTTTTTTTTCATCTTTTCGTTGATAATATTTGCCAGGTACAGCACCATTTAAGAATGTGCAAAAAGTTGAGAAAGGGACATCTTACATGGTTTTCCCTAGAATGCAAACTATTGTAATGAAACAGTGCAGTATACAAATGGTAGAATCTGAGAAACTGTTCTTTCTCATTATACATAGGTGCTAGAGTGAGCATCCAGGGAACTGTTCAACTGAAAAAAATAGATAACATTGACTTTTCCAAATTCCAGTCTTTTGAGGAAGTGACAGCAGCAGCTGCCAATCCTGATATTATACATCAATTGGAGGATGCACTTATGATATGGTACAAGCAAATTGAGCAAGTAAGCATCTTCTGGTACTTTAGCTAAGCAGAGGGAAGCATAGTTATAAAAAAGAGCCATGAAGAGGGCATTTCTGAGGCATCATAGATAAAAACTAATAAAGAAGAGAAGTAACCAGGAATTAAGGAAAAACTTCCTAACAATGAAGACAATTAACCAGTGGAACAGTTTGCCTCCAGAGGTTGTGGGTGCTTCATCACTGGAGGTTTTTAAGAAGAGACAGGACAGCCACTTGTCTGAAATGGTATAGGGTCTCCTGCTTGAGCAGGGGGTTGGACTAGAAGACCTCCAAGATCCCTTCCAGCTCTATCCTGATTGATTGATCTTTTTCAGCACAGAACTGTTCCTACTGTACTGGCCAATCACATTATAAAATACGGACACGCCTTGAAAGTTCCAAGTAGGCAAAACTGGTTTATGACAACATTCCAAACATGCATTTTAAAGCAAAATCTTTTCTAGACTAACCAGGCATTTGCTTGTGTTGCAATTTTATCCTGAAGGTTTAGGAAGGTTCCCTTTGATCAGGATAAACTATTGTTTCAGATCAAAATGGTTTGTTGCCACATTTGCTCTTGGAACTGTGATAAAGGTCAATAGCCTAAATGATATACAACTATATTTCAGCAAATCAAATATTATTACAGCCGATAGTTAAGTATTAATCGAAAATAGCAACCTAAGATAATGAACTAATTTTGGATATCTTAAAAGATAGCAAACTATTAGCTCTGATGAAGATAATGGTCATGATGACGATGAAGTTAGTGGTGGTGGTGATTAGCAAGGAACAGAAGCAATTGTAAGATTTCCAAAACACTTTTGCACTCTGCAGCTTAAGTTGCAAGATGAAGGCAGTTGTTTCTGTGCTGGAGGCAAAGAGATCAGGGTGATGCAAACAGCAAAGACAAAGCAAGCCCTGCCCCTTGTCTACATGCAATGCAACATTGTGCATTGGCCGAAAGGAATGCAGCTTGAAGGATGGTATTGTATGCCAACCCTCATTCTTCTGAGGAAAGCAGGGAGGACCTGCAGACCACATTGGAAGAATGGAACAAAATGTCATGTGACAGTCCTGAATGTGACATAGCAACACTGACATGATACTGTAACTATATTGTACAAATTTAACATTGGCAGGTTTTGATTGAGAGTGAACAGATGAGAAAGGAAGCTGATGACTCAGGTCCACTTACCGAATTAGAGCACTGGAAACGAATGTCTGCCAAATTTAATTTTATTATTGAGCAGATTAAAGGACAACCTTGCAAATCTGTCATAAATGTTCTCAACGTTTCACGTTCCAAAATTGTAAAGGTAATTTTTAGTTGTTGGGTTGTTATTTTTAAAAATGAGGTTTTAATGATTTATACCAGTGGTGGCGAACGTATGGCACGCGTGCCAGAGGTGGCACTCGGAGCCCTATCTGTGGGCACACGTGCCGTTGCCCCAGCCTCACCTACCCTGCGGACCCCTCCTCACCAGCAGCCCCCCTGGAGGAGAGTCGCCCCCAAGCGTGGCCCACGCAAAGCAGCGCAGCCAAGGACATGGCAGCCAGGCAGCGTAGACAAGTCTCTGCTCTCACGCCCCATCGCGCACAGTTGATGCTGCGGGGCGCGGACAGAGGGCGTGGCCGCCATGGCGCTGCTGGGCGATCTGCGGCAGGCCCTGGAGGCGGTGAGTGGCCCTGTGGGCAGGCGGGGCAAGGGCCAGTTTTTGGGCACTCAGTCTCTAAAAGGTTCGCCATCACTGATTTATACGGTCTGTTTCAATATATCCCCATTCCTTTTCTAAGATAATATAAACTCCATGAAAATCTGTGGCAAAAGGCAATACCTAACCAACCTTGGCTGATCTCAACAAGTTAAAACAAGTTGGATCTGCCTTGAACTTGGATGAGAGGCTACTAGAAAGTCACACTAGGCTACCTTGGGAAATAAAAAGAACAAACACACAATTAAAAAACACGTTCATATTTCTGCCAGGAAAATTACATGCAATCATCAGATTGTACCTCTTTAATTTCATAAACACGTTATCACATGTTTGGAGGATTACACTTTTTCCATTTAGTTTAATTAATTCAGAACTAAAATGCTATATCTGCCTGGTGTAGCTCTAACTGCTAACATGTACATATTAGAATTGAGACATTCTCATAAGCATATATTTAAGAGGAAGTAAATATGTCTTTGCTTTAATTTAATCAATTAAAATACTTACATCAATCCAATGGTATGACATAGAAATTATGATCCAGATCAGGGGTGTCAAACTCGCAATGTCACGTGATGTGTCGCAACGTATTGTGACTTTTTTTCCCATTGCCAGCAATGGGGTGGGTGCAGTTTTGGCATGACACATCCCGCCCATGGGCCGGCAGTTTGACACCCCTGATTCAGATGTAAGGGCCAAGCAGGTGAAGATGGAATATGATTCTTACGTCAAAGTTATTTTGTAACTTAAGGACAGAGGGCAGTACTTTCAAGGCTAAATAAAGAAAATATGGGAGGAAGAGATCCAAAGCTGGGCCCTCAAATACATAGAGCACAAGACTGAGTGGCTGCTAGTTGAATAGCTTCTAATTCTCCATAATAAATCTACTTAACCTGTCTGCTTGGAAATGTGGAGTAGGGAGAGTTAAATGGAGGTAGTATTTGGCACAAAGCCTTGACTCTTCAAAAGTTGGGGTTACATTCATTGCCTTGTGGTCTGTGTGTGTGCACTAGTGCTTAGATGTAACGCAGCTATTTCTCTTAAGTGCTAGAACTGCATTTGACAGCAATATGATTTGGTTGACTGTTTGATATTACTGTCATTATATGGAGCAATTGATTTATTCTAATTTAACATGCAGAAAATTGAGGCTAATTTACAGCAATTTTACTCAGACATGGATATTAATGTTTTTGGGAAATCCCAAGTCCAAGTTTTGATGGCTGAATTAAAACAGCTTTTAGAGCCTAGAGGTTTGGAGAGACAGCCAATGGGTTGCCACTGCTCTCAGCAGACAACATTGTAAGCAGATGCCCTTCCATTTTTTTTATTCCATTTCTACAATCCTTGAATTAGCTGCATAGTACTACATGAGTGCATTGTAATACCACTTCCCCAGTATGAAAGTGTTCCCCTTCAATCTACACAAGTGCATTAGTGGAGCATGGCAATGTCCTAATATATTGTTATTCTGCTTTAGCACTCAGAATAACTTGCAAGTCAGCAAGTCTGTCATGGCACCTACCTAATGCCTCACCCCTGATATAAATGGTCCTGACCCTGGTGGCCTTCAGAAAAATATTAAAACGTTTTCCCAAGGTATTAGTGTCAGTGTGTATATAGAACTGACCTGGGGTGACTAATGGAAGATGTAAGTTTTGTGGGGCTTCACCCTTGTTTATTGTTTTAAAAGTTTTCATACTGCTCTTTGTCCTTTCTGGTAGATGGGAAGCGATATAAATTTATTTAGTAAGTAAACAATATAGTCTTGCTGCATATACAGTATAATCCCTAGTCTCACAGTGACTGCAGTCACTGGTGGTAAAATTAAACCATTTTCTTTAAATAATTTATTAATAAAAGGTAGTTACCAAGAATTTGAATCTGTAGGCTTTTAAATGTATTTATTTATTCATATATGTACGTATTTATTTATTCCAAGTATAGCTGGAATTAATATTTCTACTACATGAATTCTGCACATTTTATTTCAGTGTTTTAAAAGTTCAACATTTTGTTTTTACTCTAGCTGTGGCGAGAACTGGATGCCAGAATTACAGATACAGCCAATGAATCCAAGGATAATGTTAGATATTTATACACACTTGAAAAAGTTTGTCAGCCACTCTATAATTATGATTTAGTGAGTAAATTTTGAAGAAGTCTGCATACAGTTTTGTGTATATTGTGTACTTACGTTTTCTATTAAAGTACATGCAGTAAAATAAATAACTTTAAAATGTATATCATAAACAGAAGATTCTAAATCTAACTATATTCTATATATGCTGCAGTGGTATTCTTGTGTCCTAAAATACCTGACTTTTACAGACAATTATTATTAATTAATGACTTACATCTTTCTGGTAGTGATGTAGATTTAAATTAATTATCAAGACTGGGCTGTAGATAGGAATCTAAGATTAGAAAGAAATAATCCAAAGTATAATCCAGACTGAAAGGAGAACCTGGAATGCATTCATATGAAATACAACAGAAGATATTTGATAGATAATAATTTATGTTTATAAGTTATAAGTTATGTTTTATTATTTTTATGGGTCTGTTGTAAATTGCCTTAATCATTCTTGGAATAGAAGAGTAATTCCAAAATGAAGAATTACTTTTAAAAAAACCCTGTTTGTTGGGTGCAAAGAAAATGGCGGGAGGAACTGCACCCAGAAATTTGCCTTTTAAGTGCAACGAACAAACTCTTCACTTATTTTAGGCATTAGGAATTTAGATTTATTTTGAAAACAGCCATATCCCTCTTGCACCCATTGTCAGTCCCACCTGGTAGTTTAAAGTATGCCATTTTTCACTCTGAATTTTATAAAACATTTCTCTTAGGTTTCCATGGCCCACGGAATACAGAATTTGATTAATGCTATAAGAATGATTCATAGTGTTTCCAGATATTATAATACTTCTGAAAAAATGACATCTCTCTTTATCAAAGTAAGTGCTTTTAATTAGTGAACTGAAGAGTGCTCTGTACATAAATGTGCAAGCCTCAGTGTTGACTATTGTTTTCTGATGTATACAGTATATTTCAATGTTTTACATCTGCTGGTAAGCAGGCTTTCTAACCAAATGCTCATGCCCCCATCTAACTGACAGAAATGACCTTGGTTTAAAACTAGTAGAAATCCTCCGCACCCCCTCCCATTTTTGTGGCAACCTAGAACAGGCAAAATGGCTGCAGCCAGGTTCATTGTAGAGTTGGCACTATTGCTATATGAATTGATCAATAGCTTCTAACATTCTTAAACTGAAAAGCTAAACTATAGAAGGGGTGGCTGGCAAATATCTTCTGATAAGAGAAAGTTTGTTAGTGTTAATTGGTATCTGGTTTGCCTCTTCATGAATGCCAAAAAACCTTTTTCCTCATTAACATCTTAAATTTTACACCCTTCTGATGTCAGACCTCATTTAAATGGACATACATGTAACATGTTTGACTACATGTAACTGATTTCCTGTGCAAAAGGGCGGTTACTTTGATCTTGTCCAATCAACTTTCCTCTTGCATTTTCTTTGATGTGTTAGCTATAAAATGGAATGTAAGCTAAGGATTTGGGTTCCCTCATTGCATGAGAGGAATCCTTTTTATCAGAATAAAATAAACTGAATAAAATGATCCTCTTGTCTCAGTTTGTCTCATTGGAAAATATGCATTCTGAGGCACGAGCCTAACAGCCATATTTGGCCTTCAGCATTCAGCTGTTTCTCAAAACTACAGATATAATCAGCAGCCCCAAATGGTTGGAGATCCTTAATTTCACATGTGTATACACAGAGTATATTTTGCTGTGGAACAACTAAATGCAAGGAAGAGGTGGTGTCACCGTGCAGAACATGCATCTTTGTTTATTGTGTCATCAAAGATGGAATCTAGTTCAGATGTAAGCCTACAAGTATGACTTTTAAAGCTTTCAAGCACCCTCTTTTCTTTACGATTCATGTCATAAAATAATGATTTTTAAAGATGTGATTTTACTGTAAATTATCCAGTTTTTGTGATAATCTCAGGCATTACACAATGGTTTAAGAACTGTCTAAGACTGTAGTCTGATGCAAGCTTATTTTCATTATAGTATCTTAAAAGACAAGGGGGAAAAAGGCAGAAAAGGCATACAATACCAAGGCACTTGTAGGAATAGTATCTTTTAAATTCTGAATTGTTCCCACCCTCCAAGTACTGACAATTAGAGTCCTTTTGGTTTGTCATTAGATGAGCAGTTGCTGTGAAACTTCGGGCGTTCATTTTTTACTGTTAATGGGAGAGCATATCTAAATAACTAGCGGTATACAAGGTTGTGGAAATGTGCAAAATGCTGAACTTTGATGTAAAAGACGATGTATGTTTTTTTCTTTTTTAAATATACAATAGGTTACAAATCAGATGGTCACAGCATGTAAAGCATATATCACTGATGGAGGATATAGCCGTGTATGGGAGCAGGATACTCCAACAGTAATTCAGAAAATTAAGGTATGTTTGTAATGCCTTATATATTTTCTATGGTATTGTTTCTGTTCCCTACTGAATCCCTATAATGGAATTGTTATGATGTATAACCGCTATAAAACAAGATTTTGGTTTTCATGTTAGCTAACTTATTATCATGAACTCTCATTAGTGTTATTAGCAAAATTCATACAAAGTCATAATTTACCCAATTGTTTATTAAAAAACAATTCCAATGTGGAGTTTTCTGCTTAATTAGGCCTCTGGAGATTTACCCCAGCATTGCACTGCATAGTCTTTATGCTTGGAAAGTAAAAGAAATCAATTTTGAATTATTAGAAAATAGTGTGCATCTTGTCAATATTTTCCCTTAATTAGCAAGAAATTATTAGCAACCTTATTATGTAGGCTAAGAAAAAATTACCTTCAAAAGCTTCTGCTTGCTCCTATGATCTAAAATAGATTTAGATTTCTTCATATTTCAGTTAACAGCATTAAACCATATAAAATATTAATTATGAAGATACAGATCTAAAATCAAGTTCTAATTGGAAAAGTTCTTTGTAAAAGTTCTATAAATGTATGCATTAGATTTATTGAATTTATATCCACTCTAATCATAAGGCTTATGCCTCTAAGTAATCTAAGTAATTACACTCTGATAGTAATTGCCACATATTTTTTTTTACATTTTAGGACTGTATTTTTTTGTTTAAAGAATATCAGAAAAGTTTTCATAAAACAAGAAAACAAATTTTGGAAACTTCAGGGGAGAAGACATTTGAAGTATCTGAGATGTACATTTTTGGCAAATTTGAAGCTTTCTGTAAAAGGCTAGAAAAAGTAAGTACTCTTTAGAAAACCTCAGTCTTTTGCCTAACTTGTCCCTAATTCTCATTGTGGTTTCAGATGTAACATTTCAGACTGATATAAAGTTTAATGAATGAAAAAATAATGCCTTTTAAATATGGAGCTTCTTTGGTATGCTACAGCAGAAAGCAATGTAATAGCATCCTAGTTTATTTCAAGCCGGGGCTTAGTGCAGGGGTGTCAAATTGCCAGCCCGTGGGCCAATTGCATCATGCGGAAGCCGTGCCCACCTCAGCTCTGGCAAAGCAAAAAAAGTCACGATACGTCACAACACGCCACATGACGCGGCGAGTTTGACACCCGTGCTTTAGTGCAACAACTGACAGTAATACAGACAGATACTAGAAATAGACATCAACAGTCAGATTTGGTTTGGGCCTAGGTGGTGATTCGGGATACAGCTCAATTCAACTCAGCCTGAAATAAAGTCTTTCAGAGTTGCAATTTAGTAATCCAACGTGTGAATAAATGACTTAGAATGGAAACAGAAGGATTTCAGGAAAAGAATGAGAAAGTCTTAATAAGGATTGATTAAGAAAATGAAAACTGGTAGGAAGAAAGATAAGGAGTTAATAAGGCCAAAAAAGAAATAACTTGTCCCATCAGTGCCACTATCAAAAACAAGCTTTTTCACACATGACTCTTTACTTAAGAAACCATTAGGCAGACAATAAAGCAAAATGTGAGACTGAATAAACTTAATTAAACCCTTGCTTACTTCTGGACACTTAAGAAGGTCTGCTTTGTCTCAAGGAGCACAGAATATATTTGTAGCGTTTGGTTTTTAGAATTTGACTAAATTCAGTGAATGTTATAAGTTGGGTACCAAACAAACCTGTCAACCTGTTATGAGCTGTCCAGAGTTGCTTAGATGCAATGGGTGACCATACAAAACAGGTTAAGAATAAAGATAAGAAAAAGTGTCTTAAGATAAAATATGACAATAGATGTCAATCATAGATTACTTAAATCAGTTCAGCTTTATATTTTTTAATTGCTGTAAATGAAAAACAAAGTTGAAAATCTTTTTTACAGGAAAAAATATTTTAAAATATAAAATCACCTTAGGTGTACAATATTAACAGTACAGTAATGAGTGAGTTTTTTGTCTGATATTTGATGGTTTGTGCAATATTTTTTGTTTAAGAAAAATATAATATTAAAAGAAATCATAGTTAATACATGAAAAAACAACTTTTCTGATTTTAGATAACAGAGATGATAACGATTGTTCAGACTTTTTCTGCACTGAGTATGTCTACCATTGAAGGAATTGATATTATGGCAATTAAATTCAAAAATATCTACCAAAGTGTTCAAAAGAAGAAATATGATATCCTTGACCCACGAAAAACAGAATTTGATGTAGACTTTGCAGATTTCATGACAAAAATTGAAAATTTAGAGGTAAGTCACATGTGTTTCAATTTGACTAAAATATGAAAAATGTTATTAATTCAGATTAAGACAGGTTGTGAAGTTGCAGTTTCCTTAGTTAGCCTGATGATCTGTACTTGAAGAGAAATGGAGCGGAGGTAATGCTAATGGAATTGGATTTGGGAGCCCTGCTTAGCAGTGATTCCATTCCTACCTCTAGATGGCATTTTCTGGGGACTACTGTTGCACAACGAGAAGCTAGGCTATGTGGTCCTTCCAGATTCCATTACGTTGCCTCTGATGCTTTTCAATATATATACAAAGCCATTGGGACAGATTGTCAAGAATTTGGTAGCAAAATATTAACAATATGCTGATGACTCTCACGTCCATTTCTTCATGCAATGGCATGAATCCCTTGAATGTTTTCTTAAGGACAATTGGAATAAAGGAAAATAAACTGAATACAGATAAAATGAAAGTACAAATTATGAAAGATCATAATTCTGGTTTGTGATAGTGTTGTCTATTACATTCTCCCAGAAAAAAAGGGTATGTAGACTATATTACAGTATTCAAGCAGGAGATTGATAACATTTCAGTGATCATGACAAGGGCTTCCCCATCTAGGAAAAGTGACAGTTGGCACCTCTAAAGAATTTCTGTGAAGAGTGACCTGGCCATCAGGTTTCTTGGATAGTAGCTTCTATTTCAGAATCAATACATACTGCAGCATAGACCTGGTGTTTTCTCAGATACTCATGTAATGTGAATAGATTTCCTGCTTGGCATCATATCCAGCATAATGTGCTTCTCTTAATAATCAAATATTGACAAGGGCATATATATGTTATGGCTTAATTTTGATGGTGTTGATATTTTACTGTGTGTTACTGTATATGTCTTTCTATCTCACTTATTTCTTCTTCCAAGCCCCATCCAAAACCCTATCACTTCTCCGAAGTTCTCCATCTTGTCATAGGACATTCACGGTATGTGTTCAGCCCCAGCTGTTTCTTGAGCAGACCCTATCAGCAATGACTATAGGAATGTGTCTGCTATAAGGTTGTCCATCCTGTGTATTCCCACCCAGTGAGTGGGAAATTCTTCCATAAGTTATAGCATACTGTTTTGCTGCAGTATCTTCTTCTGCAACTTTTCCAACCTTCAACATTTTGAAGTTTGGTGATGAGTAGACAGTATTCCAACTTTGTAAAAAGCCATTAAAGTGTTGCTAATTGTATATTTAGTTTCTTTTTGTATGATTCCCAGGTCCCTTCCACTAGAGTGAGTGGGGTGGGCCAATCCAAACTAAACTGTTTCTCAGAGAAATTAAAGCTTAATGAAGAGAAGCATATAAAATGCAATTAAAGATAAAACTCCCAGATTTGACAAGCTGTCCTATGTGGGCTTTTCAATAAGGCTTAAAGTATTTTTGCTAACTGAATAAATTTATTTTATTTTACTTTATACATCTATATGGCTACCCATTTCATAATTGTGGCTGGCTCACAATTAGCAAGATGATTCCCCAGATAACTTGGACCCATACCATAAAAGGCTTTAATAGTAATAAGCAACATATTGAATTGGCCCCAGAAGCAGATCAGCAATCAATGCAGCTTATTTAACGGTGATGTTACATGTGCCTCCAAAACAGTTTGTATCACTGCATTCTGAACCAATTGTAACTTTCAAACACTTCTAGGATAGCCCCACGAAGAGCACATTTAAGTAATCCAAATGAGAGGTGACCAGAGCATCAGTGACTGAGCCTTATGATCCAAAAAATGGTGCAACTGGTGCACAACACAAAGTTTTGCAAATGTCTTCTAGCCACAGTTGCTACCTGCTCTTTGATCAGGAGTTGTGAGTCTAGGAGAACCCACAAGTTGCATACCAGTCTGTCTGGGGTAGTGCAACTCCACCCATTAAAGATGATAAACCTCTGAAACCCGAGGTACCACACATCCATAGCCAGGATTCAACTGTCCGCAAACAGACCCTTACAGCTTCCAGGCACCACAAAGGGCAGTCATGGCATCACTTTTATCATCTGGGATGCAGATATAGAGTTGAGTATCATTGGCATATTGATGATAGCTTGACCCATGGTGACAGATGTTTTCACCCAGCGTAGATGTTAAAAAGAAACAAAGAGAATATGAAGCCTGCAGTACCCCATAGAAGAGCAGTCATAGGCTGGACCTCTCACAGTCTATCAATACCAACGGAGACTGGCCTTGGAGAAAGGAACCAAACTAGTGCAAGACTATGCTGCCCAGTCCAAAGCCCCCAGTTGACCCAAAAAGATACCATGGTTGTTGGTATTGAAAGCCACTACCTCCATCCTGCTCTCAACAGAGATTGACAGGTGCAACCAATGCTCTTTCTGTCCCATAGCCAGCCTAAAAGCTGACTGAAAGTGCTCCAGATAATCCGTTTCATCCAGGACCTTCTAGAGCTGCAACACAATCACTTTTTCCACCACCTTCCCTAAAAAGGAAGGTGAGAGACTGGGCGGAGGTTTCTAGGCAGGTGAAGTTTCTTAAAGACAGGTAGTATGGCCTAGAAATGAAAATTCTTACCACCTCTATTTACCTCAAGTTGTTCTCTCCTCAAACTATGACTCTAAGTGCAGAAATATATTCTATTCTTATTCTGTGTTTGTATTCCTCTCTTGGAAGGAATGTTGATTTTTGAATTACTAATATTCAATTTTGTTTTCTTTTCTGTTAGGTCCAAATACAGACATTTATGGGTGCTTGTTTCGTAAAAATCTTATCTTCACAACATGCTCTCCAGTTGCTTCAGAGGTACAGCAAATATTTTAAATTAGCAAGTATTTCACTTGGCACAAGAGTTAAGTTTATGTTCATTTGAAAGATAAAAGGCAGGTGCTGTCTCTTTTTACAGTTGATCTGGGAAAGGCAGCCACCTGTTATTCTGTTTCCCATTTTCTTTGTAGGTGGATAGCACAACAGACTATATCCCTCCAGCTAAAGCAAGTTAGATAATTATATGCAGTAGAAAAACACTAAGCCAAAAACAAAACTTAAGTTTGTTTTTTGATCAGGTATTCTTTGGTCTTTAATGTTCTTTGGCTTCTTTTCTTTCATTTGTTCTGTTTTCGTAACCCTCTGATACTTTTTGAACTACCACCACAACTGCTATGTGTATTTTTAAAGAACACGGATGAGGTACCATACATTAGCTGCAAAAATTGAAATAATTACACAAAACTCTCTTTGTCTTTAAAGGTTGTCTAGATCAGATATGTCAAACTCGCAGTGGGCGCGGCTTCCGGATGACGCGTCCGGCCCACGGGCCGGCACTTTGACACCCTTGGTCTAGATGCTTGTAGTTCATATCTGATAGTCCTCCATAATTATGATTAGCTTAGCTAACAAACTGACAGTTTCCTTTGAAAAGAACAATCTTTATTAAATGCCCCTTATGAAACTATTATAAAAATGGATGCTGTAACAACTGTCTTTATCAATGTAATGTGATGGGGCCTTTGAGGGTTTTACTACAACAAATTAATACAATTGATCTTCTGGAAGCATAGTTTTTAGTATTTTTATAGCCTACATTGTACCATTTGAAATAAGAAACCTTTATTTCAGTTTGATTATATTAACAGTATCATATTCCATACATTTCTGTATTTGAATATGAACTCTATAGATTTCAGAAATTGAACATGCCATGTCTTCAGAATGAAATTGCATATACAGTTGGGCGTATTCTTCAGCACTATGTTGCCGAACTTGAAGCAACTAAGAAGGTATTTAATATGTGTTTATATTGAACAGAATCTGTCCATTTGACCAGGTTTACTTGTTGAAAGAATCAGTTTTAAGTGATAATTTTGTGGAACTTACTTTTACTCCATACAGACAAATTTTAATAAGTCATGTGAGATTGTTATACATATACTGTATGTTTTTAACTTTATTAAATATGAATAGTCTATGTACAATCAAATGGTAGACTTGCTTTTAAAATTGTAAACTACATTGTACAAATCTTTTAAAAAGGCACTATACCAGTGATGGCGAACCTTTTAGAGACCGAGTGCCCCAAACCCGGCCCTGCCCTGCCTCCACTCCGCCCCCCCACCTGCCCACAGGGCCACCCACCGCCTCCATGGCCTGCTGCAGATCACCCAAGTGGCCCAGCAGCGCCACGACAGCCCTCTCTCCGCCTGTGCCCTGCAGCATCAGCTATGCGCAACGGGGCGTGATGGTGGAGTCCCCGCTGCCCAACTGCCATGTCTTTGGCTGTGCTGCTCTGCGTGGGCTGCACTTGGGGGCGACTCCTCCGGGGCGCTGCTGGTGAGGCCGTGAGAGAGGCGGGGCTGGGGCAACGGCACGGGTGCCCACAGAGAAGACTCTTGAGTGCCGCCTCCGGCACGCGTGCCATAGGTTCGCCAACACTGCACTATACAGTAGTTCTCACTTAAAAATGGCATTGAGATTGGAATTTCTGTTGCTAAGCAATCATAAAGTATGTCAGATGACTGCACCACTTAGCGAAAAAATTCTGACATTTCCAGTTGTCATCATTAAGTGAATCATCATGGGTCATTAAATAAGGATGTCATATGGTTGCCATTTTTGATCACCTATTGATTTCCCCACTGACTTTGTTTGTCAGAAGCTGGCAAAGAAAATTGCAAGTGGCAGTCACGTGATCTTAGGAATGCTGTGATGATTGTAAGCACAAAGACCAATTATAACTACCACTCATTCAGCACCATTGCAAGTTTGAACAGGCACTGAACGAGTGTTCCTTAAACAAGAATCACCTGTAGATGTTTTGGCTATTTGTGCAGTTATTCAAAGACAAAATAATTAAAAGGATAATAATCATCTAATTTGCTTTCACAGACTTTACTTCTAGTAATGAGATCTAAAATTGTGAATTCAATAGAACAGGCAGAGAAACACTGAAATGTCAATAATGTACATTGTGTATATTAGAGATGTTAATTTCATATTGCCTACTCTGGAAATGCTGGTATGCCAATTGGGTTGATTAGCATTAATCAGAAAAACAACTGGAAAGGAAAACAAACAGAATGTTAATATACTTTCAAAGCTATCCATAATGTGGAAACAGGGAGTGGAGGTGACTTTCCATTCTCATAATTATTAGCAAATAAATTAACTCTAATATATAATGTTTTACTTGCAACCTTGCCTTCCTCTCCTTTTTTTCNATGCCAATTGGGTTGATTAGCATTAATCAGAAAAACAACTGGAAAGGAAAACAAACAGAATGTTAATATACTTTCAAAGCTATCCATAATGTGGAAACAGGGAGTGGAGGTGACTTTCCATTCTCATAATTATTAGCAAATAAATTAACTCTAATATATAATGTTTTACTTGCAACCTTGCCTTCCTCTCCTTTTTTTCCCCTTTCTGAAAATTATACCTGATTGGTTGGGAATAGCTAACATGGTCTAATCCAACCTCCTCCAACCTGGTGCTCTCCAATGCAATTGGAAATTCTTGCAAATATTCTGTCTGTAGCACATCAAACTGTAGAACTTTGGTCTGGTACATTACATTCCTTCCTATGCAGATATGTCAGATTAAGATATGTCGGAGTGACTTGTAGCTCAACTATTAATGGCATTCTCATTTGACACTTGACTTTGTTTTATCATAGCTTTATCAGGTGCAAAAGGATAATCCTATCCTGGCTCGAAACATGCCACCTGTAGCAGGAAAGATACTGTGGGTGAGACAACTCTTCAGGCGTATAAGTGAGCCAATCAACTATTTTTATGTAAGTTTATCATCACCACCTATTTGTAAACAACAAGGCTGACACATGATTTTCCAAATATATTTCATTGTCCAGTGAGGAGAATACTGCTTGTTATTATCTTGTTTCACCAGATCTTCACAATCTTCCCATATTAGTGTGGCTGGCTATGAATTTGAGTAAAATGATTTAGAATAGCCTGTAGAGGGCAGTGTTTAATTGCTTTGAAAGCAATATCCCTGTTACCTAGTTTTCACTCAGTTTTGACAGAACCATATTAACCATATTAACCCTGTTGCTAGAAAACTCCAATAAAATGATTTAGGCTATACCAAAACAAAGGGAACACTAAGTGAAAACAGTTCGTAGAGAAGTCTATCGGTTCGGGTTGTCTAAACTACAAATCCTGTCACGACCTGTAACAATCTTTGCGACGTAATAATTACCACTACCAACAAAAACAGGGTTTAATCAAGAGTAATTTTTAACTAACGTACTCCTTTATCCGTAAAGTCTATCCTTCCTCTGCTATTCTCACATAGATCTGGATTATTTTTCTTCTTATAGTGGGGTAATAAATTGCGCTGATTATGCAACAGAATATTGCAGAATATCTTCGCCCCTTAATAAGAGCTTCTTTTCAGACTTCCTGTTTGCTAGGTAGTCATGTCTTCTTTGACAGATGTAATAAAGAAACTCCAATGAACCAGCTTGTTTACTTCCCTAATCCAACAAGCTCCCTATTTTCTTCAGTTTTTAAAAAACATGTTTCAAAGCAAGGAAGGGAAGAACAATTTTGAACGACCCTACAGTGTCCATCTCTTGTTATTCTTTAATTGTGCTGAACAGCTGCCCTCCCACAATGCAGCTATTAGTCTTACAAAATTAGCTCTGATCGACAACCATGGAATTTTTTTCCCTCTTAATATTAGCTTGGAATTTTTTTAAATTCATTGTGATTCTGGCTAAAAAGAAAAAGCTTGAACTTTCTCTCCTTATTCTATGATTGTGCTGAAGATGATTCTTTGCCCTCATTTTCTATTATATAAATTCCCCATGGAATTATATATTTCAAAGGGGCCTCAGAGGCCACTGAGTCCCAACCTGCTATGCAATGAACAAATCCAAATTAAACCAACTCTAACAGATGGTTATTCCACCCCTGCTTTGCATACCCAACAATGGGAAGTGCACCCTCTTTTTCCTAGATAAATTAATGGGAGACCACAAGCTCTCCTTAAACTGATAAAAGCAACCCAGGTTCTTGATTTGTCTCTTATTAACCAGCTTAATATTTACTGTATATTGGGTCTGAGGTCTCAAAAGACCTGGACAAGTGTAATTTTTTTAAAGTGCAAATTGGATTACCCATGCAACATAAATTTCACCGGGTTTCCTTAAACATTCCTCCAGGAACCACTTTTACCCATTAAAAATGTGTATGTGTCTCACTGTTAGGTACTTATTTGATTTTATGACCAGATATTTAAGTTGTGATGCTGTCTGTTGAACAAATAGTGTAAATTACTGTCATATGTAAAATATTGAAAGATTTTTCAAATGCAAACCTTGCAAGATTACAAGTAAATTTGAGAGAGGGATATTCTGGATGTCCTCTTTAGTAAAAGTAGAAATATTTTATTCACCTACTTTTTAAATATGTAGTTCTTTCATTATCATTATTTTAACAGAAAAACTCAGACATCTTGGCAAGTGTGGAAGGAAAAGCAGTTGTTCGATTATATAATAAAATTTCCTATGTATTGGTGGAGTTTGAGGTACTTTATCACACAGCATGGATGAAAGAGATTTCACAGTTAGAGTATGGTAAGCTATTTAATCCATTGCAAACTCTATTGAATAATACCATTACTCTGTCCAATTACTTTGGGGAACTGTCTCTAATTACAATATTTGACTTTAGCATTGCAGGTTACACTATTGGTACGTCACCCTGAAACTGGAAAGCTACTGGTAAATTTTGATCCCAAGATTTTAGAGATTGTTCGAGAAACAAAATGTATGATAAAAATGGGTCTAGAAGTACCAGAGCAGGCAAAGAGGATAGTCAAAATTGAAGGAGAAGTAAAAGCAAACAAATTATGCTTGGAGGTAGGTAAAGAAGTGTGTTGATTTTTCAAATAACACTTATCTTTATGAAAAGTATACATTAAGGAGATTTTATGACATATGCTGGGAATATATTAACCCACAAGAAGAAAATAAAGAGAAAAGACAAAAAGGGTCAAGGTAATACTTCAATTACAAATTACATTTTGCTGGGGTAGGTGTGTATTGTCAGGAAAGAGAAGCAATCTCATTTAACTGACATTTAATTGAGAAATGTGCATCTATAAAAATGTCAAAATAGCTCAGCAATAATGCTCATACATGAATACAGAGTTCAGGGCAGGACCGTTAGAACACTTAAAGTATTAAATAAAAAGAGGCAGAGATGTCAGGATTATTGCTGTGGAAGAGGTCATTAAACTAGTGAAGTATACCCATAGATTCATTTGTCTGTCTGTCTGAGGTATTGCTTCATTATAAATATTGTATGAATCCATCTTCTGCATGTATGACTTATATTTCACTTACATTGCAATACATCTATATCAGCAGACCTATACTATTATCCTGATTAAACTCACTGTAATCCATTCCTATATTTTGGAATTTCAAAAGGCTTAACTATAAGTGAGTTATCCTAAGTCATGTTTGTTTCACTGTATCTTCTGTGAATTGTGAATGTCATCAGATAATACTGTTTTTGAGATCACATATCATCTGCTCAAACTGTCACAACATTTCGTGATTATCTGATGAAAATTCTTGCTTTATTCTGCACAAAACAAAAATGATAGTTTATCAATAAAAATAAAACATCATTTTCCTTTACATGTTGACATTTGTTATTCATTTGCCATTATGTAATAATAGATTCTTTAAGAGGGGAAAAATAAAAGTGCCTCAAATACAGTATCTTCCTAACAACATGTAATGTGGCAAATTTGCATACTATGTGGGTTAATTATCTCTGAATCTTCTTAAATGTGCCAAGAAGCTTTCTGCTTGAAACATCCTAATCTCTTTGTTATGTAGTCTAGCCCAACTACCTTCATATTAAAAAATCATAGGAACATTAGTTCTTTATAAGCAAAATGGCTTATGGTTTGGTTTTGTTTTAAAAAAAGTGTATTTTTTTACACAGAAATCTATCTAGGCTGAAGACTTTAGGAAACTCATTATATATTTTAATTTCCATTAATATTAATTTAAATCCTGAACATTTATTTTAATTCACAGAACATTCTACACTGCTATGAAAATTTGTGCCAAGAAGTTCCAACAGTGTTTGTCAACTTGATGGCACCTAAAATGAAGAAGGTATATTGAGATATCTATCTATATACTATTAAAACTCTCATTGTCATGAGTTTTAACTGGGAGAAGTGGTGCAATTTTTAAACTAAGATACCTCAAATGGGCTAACTTACAGAATATATCCAAAATCCAGCATTCTTGACTTTCAAGGAAATAAAATTTGGGGAAATTGTGGTTACATCAGTGCTACTGGTTGCTGGTGCACTGGTGCACTGCTCCTGCTGCTGCAATCATATGATCTTCATTTTCAACATTCTGTGACAATTTCCCACTCAGTCTCACAATTTTCACTCAGTCTCTCCTTCCCCAACCCACCTTCCTGCTGGAAAGGAAATGGAAGACAAAGGAAGAGAGGGAGGAACAGGCAAAAAGGAGGATAATGACAGTATGATTGGGAGAGAGGGAAGGAAACAAGGGGAAGAGAGGGGAAAAGGGAAGGAAGCAGAGAAGGGAGGGAGGAAGGAAGGAAAGGAAGGAAGGAAAAAAGGAAGATTTCTGATGTTCTCAGGCAGCTTTCAACAAGGAAACTAAATGGGGAAGCTGCAGTAAGTTGGAAGTTGCCTCCATTCCTGCTGCTTTTGTACCTACCCATAATCATTCTCTCTGTTTAGGTAAGGAAATATCTCTGAAATGATGACTCAATGGGTCACAGATTGCCTAGTATCTTTATGGATATTCATCTCTTCGTTACATTATGTCTTGACAATTGCAGTGTGCTTTCTAGGATGCTGCCCTATCTCTTTTACTATGCCATTAATGGTCAAAAACCTATTGTTAATGTTTTAATGTATTGTTTTATTTTTGTACTTTGTGTGAAAATTGTTTTAAATTTTACAAAGTTCACTTGGACAAAAATGTATTTATAAAAACAGAAATAAATATATTTTGCTATATAAACTATGTAAACAGAAGTGTCAGGAAGCAACTTAACAAAAGATTTCCAAGAATTGTAAGAAGTGGCAGGAAGAAATATTATAACAACATCTGTAAAGCCATTGAAAAGAAATGGGAAAAAATAAAAAATCTTTAAAAAGATCACTGAGCTCCAAAGGAGATTCCAACTTCAATTTTTTTACTAAAGTATTCTAATAGACAAGTAGTTGCCGATTAGAAAAAAAATAAAAAAGTTGGAAGGAGTATATTGAAATTCTGTATGATTGAAATGTCAACGTCTAAGATACTTAGAAGATATTTTCTATTTACAAGAACCTCTAGTTTTAGTTTTAGTATTGTGGGCAGGGTGTTTGTGTGTTTTTGAAGTCTGAAACAGAGCAGAAACCATGGTCAATAGTATTGAAAGCTACTGAGAGGTCAAGCAGAGCAAGAATGGATGCACAGCATTTATCCAACTCCTGGGAGATCATCTAAGAGCATAACCAATGCTGTTGTTATCCCATATTAGGGCCTGACTACTGATTGAAAGGAATCTAGATAATCTGCTTCACCTATGGTCCTCTAAAGCTGCTGTGCAATCACCTTTACTACCTTCCCCCCCAAAAGAGAGGTTAGATATTGGATAAAATTGTCCAATATATTGGGTCCGGAAATGGTTTCTTGAGGAGGAGATGAACTAGTCCCTCCTTAAGAGGCAGGGGAATGAATTCCTCATCCAAGGAGGAATTCACTACTATCAGAATCCATTGAGATGACACCCCCTTCCTGGCAATTTTAATTAGACAGAAAGGACATAAATTTAAAGAGCAGGTGGCTGAGCTTAAAGTCCTAAGGGTCCTGTCCAGTACTCAGGCACAACTTGTTCAAACTGTTTCCAAAGAATAGGGCAAGACTACCTTGGGCACTTCCTTGGGATTTACAACAAGACCAACATCCAGATAAGAATGAATTTGAGTGATTTATCCAACAGGAGTTGAGCAATCTCTTCCACATAGCCCTACAAGGGGGCCTCATCATCTCCTCTACCCAGTAGTATAGCTTTGGGTATGTGTTACTCAAAACAGGATCACAGGATGGCTACCTGCAGACATAATAAGGATGAAGAACTATTGTCACTTTGCCACTTTTACCAAACAAAGTAGGCCTTAATAGCAGTTCTAACCTGTGTTTGTTAAGTTCATCCCTTGTCATGGTTAAGCGATGCTCTAAAGGTCTTTTGTCTCATTTCATCTCCCTCAGTTCCTTCCTTTGTGGAGAATGATATGATTCATGAGAAGGGAAAGGTTGCATAGGTGTAATTTAGTTGAAGGATTTGGCAGCTCTCCTGTTCTAGATGGTAACCAATGGCTCAGGTAGACTGTATGGCAAACTGACAGGCACACCATCAGCTCCCCCTGAAACTTCTCTGGATCTATCAGTCACCGAGGGTGGCCTTATCTAATAGGCCCCACTTCCCCGCAACGGGTGATGGCACCAAAAAACCCCATGGTAATCAGGGCATGATTTGACCATGACAAGGGGGCCACCAACAAAGGGTGATATTAAAGAAGGGAGTCCACCTGAAAGGGAAGGGAAGACAGGGAAGATTTTCTTTAGGACTGTAGAAAATGCTTGTGATATTCTATTGAGTTTAGTGCAGTATAATCTATTAGATGCTAACAATCTACTATAGTCCTAATAATTCTTTTTTTATCTCTCCTTTTACTAGGTGGAATCTGTACTAAGGCAAGGTCTTACTGTTTTAACTTGGTCCTCTCTGACATTAAATAGCTTCTTTCAAGATGTTGATGAAGTTATGAAAATGTTTAATCAGCTTTTGAAAAAGGTATATTTAGTTTTCCCTAGTTCCATTAGTAGTATCAAGGATTGAATTTGGGCCCCAAGAATTCAAAGCATGTATCATGTTGCTGAATGTTGGCTCTACAGCTTAATTCAAATATACATTAATTTTCATCTTAATTTAATATTTATAATTATTCCAGTGTAGACAGCATATATAATCTATTCAGATTTCCCAAAAGTGTCATAAGACAGAAAGAACAGTACAGTTAATTTATTGTATTGTTATTTAATACAATTAAGTTACAGTTTTATTGAAGGATTGGAGCATAGAGGAATCTTTTATGTTGTATGGATTTAAATCACAGCTTTTTAATTTTAGTCTATTTTTAACTTAATCTAATTGATTAATCATACTATATGTTTTTCTAGTGGGGTTCTTATCACCCTCAAGTGTATTTTTTTTTAAAAAAAATTGAGCAAAATGTTTGTGTAATCCTAACAAGAAATCAATTAACAATCTTTTCTTTAATACAGATTAATGACTTGTGTGAAATGCAGATTGATTTAACACTGAAGGATATATCAAATACTCTGCTGCTGATATTACCTGAAAGTGCAACAAAAGTGGAGGACTTACTGGCACGCAATGAGGTAACCATAGTTTTAGCCATTCTTCTTTTGGTGAACATATGTGCATATATCCATAATGTGGGCTGTATAAAGAACAATTTTAGTTATTTAGCTATGAGAATTTTTAAATATTCTTTTAGAATTCTAAAGAATTCTATTTTTCATACTTCTCCACAAGATGGCAAACATCTCTATACCAGCATGTTTCCCTTTTAGTTTTATTGATTTGCTCAATATTTATGTTTTCTAAATGTATGTAAACTTCACTCATCTCTGTTGATGAAAAACCAGTGCTTTAAAATGCTGAATAACTTCAGAAATTTACTTTGTAGGATATTCATTTCACCTTATGTAATTATACATTCAGTCTTAAAGAACCTGCTTCAGTTTGTTATTAGCAGTTCCTCTGAATTTACCACACAGTTCTAATTATTATGATTTATTTTAACTACATAACTGCCATTCATTTTTGAAAACCTTATATTCTAAATAGCAGAAAATAATTGTACTAGTAAATATGAAATCATTGATGCTTCAACCACAAAAGTCATCTACGTAAGTTGAAGAGCTTCAGTATCAGACTATATCTGTAGAAGTAATACATGCCTTAGCATATGCACATGTAATAATTAATAATGCCACCATTATTTAATGTTTGTATTTCATTTCCATAGTAGAAAACTGTTTATGCCTTAGTTACCTCCATTTGGGATTGGAGGTAAGCTATGTACTGTACATTGAGCTGCTCTTGAAAGCCACTAGAAACTATGGCTGGTTCTGAATATAGCAGCTTAAATAATTACGGGCATTCCTTCGTTTGCTCACGTAACATATCTATTTCAAGAGCTGCACTTGTTTTCCATGTGTACCGAATGTCACCTATAAAGCCCTTCAGAGAACACAGTGGTGGCACAGTGGTTAGAATGCAGTACTGCAGGCTATTTTACAGGGTGAACTTTTCCCAACAATCGTGGAAGTTTCAATTCCACTGTGACAGGGTTTATGATCTTAGTGATGGGAAACGTTCACCCTGTGTTTCATTGCAGTCTATTAAAACCTTTATTAGAATCCTCTATGAGAACTGTCTCAAAGAAGCCGCCGGGTCCAGTAGTGGTAGAGGGGGAGACACGTTATGAAATAAAATGAATTCTTGATTCTAGGTTGTACAAGGGAAAGTTACAGTACCTCGTTCAGTGGAAAGGCTATCCCCTTTCAGAAGCTACATGGGTGAAATGTACTAATGTGAAAGCGGATAGATTAATAAAAAAAGTTTTACGATAAATACCCTCACAAGCTTCGAGGGAATACTTACCCTGCTTTTTGTTTCCCCTACATGAGACTCTTTCTTTCTGAGAGGGGCAGACTGTCAATTCTACAAATGAGCATGGCTGCAGCCATTTTTCCTACTTATTTTCAGTTGCCACATAGAATGGAGGGAAGGGGGTTGCTCAGGTGCTTCGCTAGTCAAAATAATCGTTTATCCCGTGGGAACCAAGGTCATTGGCTGCTCCTGAGACTGTAGGCTGGTCGTTATGTAAAAAGCTTGCTGAGAAGATTTATTGCAGAATTGTTACGTTTGTCTCCAGACTTGGTTTCACTTTTCTCCTCCATCTCAAGTCTTTGCCGAGTTGTTACTGCTCTCCCAAAAGTGAGTGGGTAGGCGGTCGGAGTCCAGCATCCTGAGAAAATGAAGTTTCATGAAAACTTGGCTTAATGTCAAGGTTCCGACAGACAGAGATAAATAAAGCAGAACTCCGAGGCTTGCAAATTCCCCAAAAAACATGTTTATTAGTTACAAAGTATCAGCACGTCAAAAGTGAAACCAAGTCTGCCGACACATATAACAATTCCCCAATACATCTTCTCGGCGGATTTTTTACGCAACACCCAGCTTGCAGTCTCAGGAGCAGCCAATGACCTTGGTTCATTATTTTGACTAGCGAAGCACCTGGGCAACCCCGCTCCTTCCATTCTATGCGGCAACCAAAAATGAGTAGGAAAAATGGCTTCAGCCATGCTCATTTGTAGAGTTGACAATATGCTGACTTTGTAAACCACTTAGAGAGGGCTGTAAAGCACTGTGAAGCAGTATATAAGTCTAAGTGATATTGCTATCTCACAGACTGACTTCTGCCAATAGTTTCCACCTGCCCAATTAGATGAGGATGAGTGGTTTCTCTCTAGGGCCATGATGTCATCTACCATGGCCTTTTATTCTGGAGTAGCATCTCACTGAATGCTTAATTTGCCTTATCACACTTGGGATTCCGAAAGTCAATCACATCTGGCTTTGAGGGAGATTCTTCCTGCATATGAATATTGATTATATCAGTTGTTTTTGTTCCCCAGCAAAGGTTATCTTTGTCAATGTTGCTGAGGAGCGCTTAGAGCTTGGTTGTTTTAATCTTGTTTATGCACATAAAGTCTTTAAGTTGCCCAGTCAATGATCAAAACTACATAAAAGTCTAGTAAAATAAATAGAATGCTGTTATTTTATTTAAACAGGTACACACAAAGGAATGGGCTGAAATATTAAACAATAAAAGTAGGCATATAGAAGATGCTGTACAAGAACTCATATCAATATTTGAGCAAATTTATGAAGTTAAACATGTCAAAAAGCCGGCTCCCAAAAAATTTCAAACATCAGGTATCTACGGCTCCCTTCATCATTAAGAACTTAACTATCATTGTCAAGACTTTTTCTATTTATTTACAGACATTTTAATAATTAATGATATTTCTCTGTAATTTTAATTTTGGAAGCATAACAAGGAATACAGGTCTTTATTATCAGTCATTAGAACAAGAACTTTTGCTGCCTGAAAATAATATATTCTGGCCTGTATTTAATAGAAGCTAAATTGTTTATCTGGCAGTATTCCCAGGTAAGAAGTTCTGGGATGCTGCAGGACTGTGGGAGGGAGGCTATGGGAGGGTACTGCTGCAGCACTGTGTGAGCACAGGAAAACCATGGGATGCAGAGTGTGGTGCTGGACAAGTGCAGGTAGGACCTGGGGTGTGAGGGTGCAGTGCTTTGTGAGCTAGTAAAACCAAGGGGTAGGAGGGTATGGTGCTGTGTGAGTGCAGAAAGCCCATGGAGTGGAGGGCGCAGCTCTGCAGGAGCATAAGAGCACCAGGGGATAGAAGGTGCAGTATGTGGTGCAAGCATGTAAGCTTGGAGGACTTATCAAAATGACTTGCAACTTTTCTGGTTGGCTTCCCCATTGATTTTGCTTGTAGGAAGCTTGCAGAGAAGGACACAAATGGCAATCGTGACCACGGCTCCCTGCAATATTGTAATTATGAGCTGGACATCCAGTGTGTACAGTATCCTGTGATGGCCAGAATCCCGAGGATTGATCATATGTCCCAAAAGGGGGAAAGATGTACTTCCAAAATTTACAAGATTCTGTTTATGTAACTTTATAATAAAGTAGAGCTACTACTTCTGGTTAAGTTTCTTATCTGGACTACCTCACAAGGCTGACATTAACCTTGCAAGTCTGAAAATACATCTCAGGTAGAAAGGGCACAACTGGCACATGATTATGGGAAATTATGGTATCTTTCTGGACTATTTATTGTGATTACGAGTGGGATGAATAATGTGTTCTCTGACTAGTGTTGGCGGGCAACGGATGGGAGAAACTGAGCTAGAAAACTCTGAAATTCAGGGTGCATCAGGGTCAATGCTCCCATCCCTTGGTTAATATTTGCCAGAGGTTGGTAGGTGAGGACATTCATTAATTTTGAGTCAGATTATCATCAATACACTGAAGACACCAGGTATACATCTTAACCCCAATCTGACAAGGTGAATTGTCAAGGCTCAGTGTCTATTGAGTCCCAATTTGGAGGAATGGACTATCTTCCAAATGCTGGGTTTTATATAATATTATTGGACACAAAGTTTGTATAAAAGGTTTTTTTTAAAAAAAAAACACGATAGCAATATAATACTGGTTATTATATTTGTAATCTCTGTGCCTAAGTCATCAAGTGCAGGAGTAGAATCAGTTGGGTTTTCCTCTATTAGGTGGAGAATCAATTGTTCCTATGATGTTTCTGCCCCCATTTCATGTTTCTCTTAACATTTACATCAGTGCTTATGCCAAAGGCTCAAATAATATGACCATTAAATCTTAACTTTCACTTAAATGACTACTGATAGAAGCAATATGTATTGTGCTCTATCTATTTAGGATTCTGTGGAGATCTTAGATCGAATGTGTGAATGGATGCAAACTCTCCCACAATGTATACTATATCAACTTATGCACATGGCTGTTGATTGAATGACTTCTCTTATTTGAAACAGAAGGAAAACATGTAGCATTTGGAGGTGGAGAAGAAGAGAGACTCTCTTCAGGGTCTTCAATTATGATTAGTAGTGAAGAAGCTGAGGACAGTGAAAAAGAGGATGAATTCAAAAAGGTATTTCATCACCTATTGAACATTTATTCAATATACATATTATTGAAATAATGGAAATAATTTAAAAAACAATTGCATTATTTATTAGAATAATTGTTGAATATCTTTCTAACTTTCCCCTAATATATTTCATGTTGTGAAAGTACTTTAATTGAACAAAATTATAGGCAAATTTAGTGCAGAATTATCTTGCTGATACAGTATGATTTAAAATAGAAAAGTGGCAAATAGGAGAGATGCTGAAATCATCCCCTCCTTTTTTGCTAGAAACTTTTCTTCTCACCCAATTTTCAATTGGTGAGACTTAGTTCTGAGGTTTATACTGGCCAAGTATAAACAAGGAGAAGAAAGTATATGCCTAGTGCTACTTTCTGCCAATACCTCTAAGGTAGGGTTGTCAAACTGAAGCCGCGCCCACCCCATTATCGGCAATGGCAAAACCGTCCCGATATGTTGCGCAACGTCATGTGATGTCGCGAGTTTGACATGTCTGCGCTAAGGAATCACTTAGATCAAAGGTCTAAGGGGCATGCTGGCCGGGGAATTCTGGGAGTTGAAGTCCACAAGTCTTTAAGTTGCTAAGTTAGGAGATCCCTGACTTAGATCCATGCTTATTACCTAGCTGTGCTTTCAGTTCATTATTAACATCAGCCTTGTCAGGTTGGTTTGTTCTGAGTCAGATCTCATTTGCATTACATGAGTTTTTCTTGTGGCTCATTTAGTTGAAAATAGGAATGTTGTTTTCAGCAGGATATTCAGCATCAGTAACCTTCATGGGCTATGCCAGAAGAAGTAAATTGCTGAATGATTTTGAACAGGTATGTAGTTGATATGAATCTAAACTGAAGCTTTTAACTGCAGGAATGCAAAGAGGTAGTTGCATATTTTAGCCATCAGTTGCTGGATAGCCTGCAGAAAACTACACGATTATCCTTAGATGCTCTTAAAAGAAGAGTATTTGTTTCAAGGTAAGTGATATAAGTGAAAAAATATTTTCCCACCTACCCTAATACACTTGGCACTTTTGTTTCTACCAGCAGAAAGAAACAAATGAGAAAATTCCAGCTGAATGTTTCCTTAAGAACCAATAAAGTTCTCAATACCAAGAAATAAACAAATCCCTGAATTCCTAACTTCACCTGCTATTCCTTGATCATTTGCTTTTTAACCATAAAAGTAAAGGTATTCAGTAAATATATTCAGAATTTGTATTTTTTCTTAATCCAGTAGGGTATCACCATGACTTTCATTAAAAAACCAAGGATTTTTGACTGTGTATGCTCATTATGATAAAGAGTCTCCTTTCTATGGCTTAGTATATGGTGAAAAGTCAGCTGTGACTTATTTCATAGACTGGTTAATGCAATATGTGAACATTTAAGCTGCAAGTGAGATGGATCCTTCCTTGGATGGTCCATGTAGCTATCAGAAGTTAATCTTAACTCAAAATGTTTCATCTTTATAAAACTAGTATGTCCATACAAAACATAGTGCTGGATATAGTAGTATAGAAATTTGCAGTGCTTACTCTTGCTTTGTTATTTATTAAACATAAAATAACCTTTAATCAATGGCCTATCTTAGCCCTGGGTGGTGAGTGCCACTAAGGCCTAACAGATTCCTCTGAGAAGCCCATGATAGTCCTTTTCTCCCTGAGTTCTTGTTTAATATACTAAATGATTTAATCCTCATTTCTTGTTCAGCTCCACCAACTTTGGACGGCTGCCTTATTTACCTCAGACAACAGTCAAACCTGAAGATGTTGTTACTTTTCTGAAAGCTGAAGTGCACTTAGCCATTCCTCATGTGGTAAGTGTTTTTTGTAATATGTGATTTTTGCAATCACAGAGGAGGTAATCCATCATCTGTGAATTTCTTCTGACCATGTCACTTGTGCGGTGCTACTTAACATGGTTATTAAAAGCTTGGATAATGCAATAGGCAATACAAAGATGGTTAAAATGACAGGAGAAAAGGGTATGGATGTGTCAGGAAGAGACAAGAAGCTTGGAAAGCTGATCTGGTAACAAAAATGAATTAAAAAAATAAAATACATTTAAATAGAATGTAGCACTAAATACACAAATTGTCATGACATAAATATCATATAGAAATATCGATTTCATGCATGCTGTGAAATAAAATTTTGTCCATGGAAGCTTATATTGTACACATTTGCTTTAAGGTGCTTCAGGATTTATTTTCAGCTCTTTTCAAAGTCAGTTCATTGAATTTCAAATGTAGCAAAAGCTCCAGGCACAACTGAACTGCAAAGAAATGGATGACATTCTGTTTCCTAATTTCTAGAATTAAAATTGCACAACACAACATGGCTTTAGCTGTATATTAGAGTAAGTGAAGTGTTTCATATTATTGCACCATTTAGTAGTATTGGAAATTCTGGGTCACAAGAAGGAAGCCATAATAGAAGTTCCATTCCATTCCCGTGCTGCCTCTATTTCTGGAAGAGGAAGGGCAGATGTAGAGAGAAACTGTGCACGAACAGTTTTCATATTTGCAAAAATCTGCTCACTAGCTCAAACCCTGCATATTAGCAGTGTGATGGATCATAACACACTTAAGATTTTGGTTCTTTCTCTGTAACCTGGAAAAATTGCAGCTTTTATGTTTCACTTCATTTGAACGTGCAGATCTAATATTTCATAGATTACACATTGAAACACATAATTTTGCATCAGTGAGCTGGTGATTGATGGTAATAACCAACTCACCATATGTATTTCTTGAAAAATGTCTTTTTTTCCTTTATTTTTAGGTGATGGTGCCCAGTTTGGATGATATCCAGCAAGCCATCAACCGTATGATTCAGTTGACCTTGGATGTAAGCCGGGGTGTGGCTCACTGGGGCCAGCATCACTTGTTAAAATCCAACAACCAGGGGGAAGGCAATGTTCCTGCATCGCCTAGTGCATTAGGGAAGCTACAAAAAAAAGAAGAAAGTGAGATCACTGTTTCTCTTTTTTCCCCTCTTTTAAAAATATTGCTTCTAAAATTTTAGCCTTATTTCAGCTACCCAGAAGAAAGTCATAGTAGAATTCTAAGAATGCTGATTGAGATGTAAATCCCTATATACTGAATGGAGTTTGCTTTCTTAAATAGGTATATAGAGTAGAATTGCATTTTATCTCTATTACGACAAATTATGAAAGCATAATAGAAATTAGTTTTATCAATTAGCTAACCTCCAATTATTTTAAATTATTTCTCTCATAAGATCTCATAGACTCAGAAATATAGGTGTTTGTCCAGCACATTTGAACACCACTAGGTTAGAAAACCTAGCTTATTTAATTAGATGCTTAATCATGTCATTATAAAGAAATTAGTTTACTTTTAATATAATTAGTATAAAACACATGTAAGGTCTGTAATGTGGTTTTGAAAAGGCTATTTCATTTACGAATACAAATGGTACAATGTACTTTTCTTTGACACAGATTTCATGATAGTTTTCAACAATAGAGTATTATCATTTGTTTTCCTTACTCTAGAAATGTTAACATATTGTAAATTTTTTATGTATATGCAAGACACTTAGTTTGTAATACTTTTTCTTATTAAGTTTGTTACTGTTTTCTTTTTTATATTCTTGCTATTTTGTCTACTTTTTAAAACTTTCTATTTTGTCTATTTTTTATAAAACAATAAATAACTGTTAGCAAGCTATGGTTGCCTCTAATCCAATTAGCACTGCTTTAATACAGTAATTACTCTTTAGTTTAAAATTAAACTAGAATTGCAACTGATTTGCCAGTATTCCTACACTTTTTTATTATGAATTTCCCATTGTGTTCATTCCACACTAGTGAATATGATGTAGCTGCTATGATAGAACAATTTGAATGGTTCCCTATAACTCCAAGCCAAGAGGTGTTGAGGGCCATTAACATGGTGCCTTTAAAAACAGACTGGATAAGATGCTCAGAGTCTCCTAGAACTGTTAGACAGATGGCAAATAAATGTAATAATAAATAAATAAAATATGCTTGTGGAGGACTCATCTATTAAAGATTGTTGCTCTTGAAGTTTCAGTATTAGCTCTACATTGGGAGTACCTTGTCTTGAACATGGAGGGGAAGGAGTCTCTCTCCATTTCCTATTTGATAAAGAAAACACTTTCCTTTATGTGTATTTTTAAGGATGTTTCATTAGTACTGAAACATTTTTCTGATTAATATTTTATTTAAATGAAAAACACTCTAGTACTCTAGCTTCATAATATTATTGTGTTAACATATGTCCTATGGTTTTATACAGATATAACGGTGTAAGAATCATCATTTTAAATAATTAAAACCCCTTTTTGACCAGTATTTTCATTTTAAAAATTAAGGACAATTTTTGTGTAGCTATATATCACTATCCCTGTCTTTCAGTTTAAATAGTCCTAATCAGAGAAGCAGCTTAATATTCAGTAAATATTATTTAAAAATAAATGAACCGTGATAGGTTCAGCTTTCTAACACTTACCAACCATTTTAGTTCTTCCCATTTGAAAATATGGAAACATTGCACTAAAGACATTTTCAACTACAGTTTTCTGATAAATTTTAGTTAAGAGAGAGGATATAGGTATGAATAGATGAATCCTGTCTCCTGCCAATGAGATTAACAATATTTCACATAGGTGGGACTACTGCTTTCTTTTCTGGAAAACATATAATCACATCTGGCCAATTAAAGAGATTGTTCTACTGCAGTATTTTGCTGATTTCCTGGCTATGACAAATAAAACAAAAACTTAAATAATATAAATATTGTATACTTGTAATATTTTAGATTTTATATTTCATATTTTATATATTTATATCTTGTTTTTTATCAAAATGTGATGTGAATGTGTCATATTACAAATAAATAAATTCTATTGCAGTCAAGAAAATATATATGTATAAAATAAAGATGTGAAATATTTGTGTGGTGTGTTAATTTTTTTTCAGAAACACTAGAGGACCAATTTCCTGTCAGAAAGCTGAGAAATTTTTATCCGGGTGTGGCAGAACATAAGGATATATCGAAATTAGTTGTGCTTTTGTCCTCAGCAGTAAACTCAGTAAGGAAAGCTGCAAGTGAAGCATTGCAAGACTTTCAAAAGTATAAAGCCCTGTGGACAGAAGACAGGGATGCTAAAGTTCAGGTAACACCCATTTTGGAATCTTTGGCATGTGAAAGATAGATAACATAGTTTCAGTTTAAGGAAAAGGCAAAGCAGTTGTAAAACAGCATCTTCAGCATTAGCAGTGAGCTTGCTATCCAATAATGGTGCGTTACACTAAAGGAATTACAAATGTTTGAGGCCTACTTAGAATCAGGTCTCAACAAATTGACATAATTCATTCAGTCATTTATTAAGGATTACCAGTATTGTTTTTGAAAGCCAGATTTGTTGTTTCTTTGACATCGATGCACATATAGCACCTCCTGGGGAAGAATAGAAGAGTAGAACATTTTTGATGCAACTAATGGGAAAGACAATTAATCAGTCATTGAGTAATAATAATGTTTCCTCTAGTCCCATAAGGATTCTGAGATGGGGCTTGGCATCAACCATTTTGATGTGTTTTTGTATACAATAGTTATCTCTTTGTAACATTCAGAATCCCTAATAAAGTTAAAGAACCAGCTTTGGCAACTGATGTAGGGCTGTACTGTATTATAGTACAGAGCAATATAGACCAGCTGCAAAGTGTGGCCTTCAGCAGCTAAAAACAAATTCCTGGATATTCTAGGAGTGGGTAGTTGGTGGGGAGATATTGTCACAAGGGAGACAATGAAGAAGAGGGTAGGAATATGTGCATAGCCACAAGCAAATCTATTGTTTATGGTTTACCTATAGCAATTCAATGCATGTGACTTAGTAGAAAGGACCAGAATTGAAAAACTTGATTCTAGTTAAATAAACAATATTAATGGTTGCAATTCTTCACAGCAATTTTTGGCCAATAATCCATCTCTGACTGAGATCCGATCAGAAATTCTTCATTATGCTACCTTTGAACAGGAAATAGAAGATTTAAAACCAACAGTTTCTGTTGGCCCCATTGAACTCAATACAGGTATGAAATGGTGTAAGAGGTTGCAATATTTGGAAAAGCATCTAACAGTTAGAAGACAGAAACATTTGCATAGATAAAATTAGCAAAAATGGTGCAGTAGTATATATCTTTAAATAATATTCATATGTTAATTTTATGTGAATTGCTGTATCAATATTTTTGCTTTTGTATGATCAGCTTAATCATGCTTAGAACATGCCTATTCATTTCATTAAAAATTCTCTGAAGATGACTTATTTCAGATCCAATCTCTTGATTCTATGCTTCTCTAGATCCGTACTGACCTCTGTCCAATTTATACTTTAAAAAAATGTAAAAAGACAATAATTAATGAAAAGTTGGGCACAGCAATATTAATAGAAATTGATTAAAATATAAAAATATACTTTTAATATAGCCAGTAATAGTTTTACTGATAATTTTTTTTTAAAAAATGGAATCTATAAAAATATCAAAAACATCAATAAATATGATAAATATCACAAAGAAAAAGATTAAAATGTGGCATGACTCCAGCCATGGCCATAAATCAATAGACCAATTTTTAAAGAAGAAATGGTCTTAAAAAGATTATACAGAAATTATCTTCCATCAATTACAGCCATGTTAGAAAGGGGATCAGTTTTGCACGTGTAATTCCCAATTTCTCTCTAAATCTTTGTGCATCATGAAAACTAGTATATGATTATATAGAATGTATATCAGCTATTCTAAACAATTGGGACCACAAAGATTTCTAGTTAGAGGGAGGAGCCTATGGACTTAGCTTCCTCTTTCAAGTTTGACAAACAACCACTGAGAATGTAACAACTGAGCATAGATACCTGATTATATGTTTTAAAATCTTTTGAGTTTGAAAGCTTAGGATTTTCAACAAACATTTCTCAACATTTAGTCTTTTGGGGCAAAAATATTTCAGGGACTTGGTGTTCAAACAATAGAAACCCAAAGCTCTTTATGCATGCAAAACTAGTGCCACAACTATTTCAGGCCCAGATGATAAGTTGTACATTTTCTGACAGTATAGTTCTATTTTAGAGTAGTTTGTACAATTCATTTAAGAATGAGGCATTCACATATCAATAGCTTGGCATATGCAGTATGACAATTTTTCAACAGGGCCGATGAAATTAGCTCTTTCAATTGAAGCAAAAGCATGGAAAATGTTGCTCTGTCGCTATTTAAATGAAGAATACAAGAAAAAAATGCAAGACATGATAAGTTTTATAACGGAGTATCTGAAAAAATTATCTCGACCAATTCGAGATTTGGATGATGTTCGTTTTGCTATGGAAGCTCTGTCCAATATACGCGATAAAGAAATAGAGATGGATATGACAATGGGACCTATTGAAGTAAGTTCCTTAAAAGCAAGAATCTTATTCAAACAAGTTTTTTTAAAAAAAATAAATAATAAGAATGTTCAACAGTGTGAAATGTGTGATACTGATTTTGTTTTAGGAAGCCTACACAATTTTATATAGATTTGAAGTTGAAGTAACAAAGGAAGAATCAGAAGGTGTTGATACCTTACGGTACTCTTTTAATAAGCTTCAAAGCAAAGCAGTAAGTATGTTAAAAGCTTATTATATAACAATAGTTTATGAATATAAACTCACAATATACAAAATAAATGAAATTGTTCTATAATAGCAATAGTCCTGGTATATGGCTCTCTACAAA